AGTTATTCATATATATGTATATATATATATATATATATATATATATATATATATATATATCCATACAGCAAAGGTATTATACCGTTATCCCGACATAGATACTTGCTAAAACCCCAGACACGTGTTTCGCCGATATTCTGCCGCTGCGTGACACAGCTGCGAGGGGTTCGGCTCATCAGTGGGACCCCCAGCGTTCTCTAGCAGTTTCCGGTATATATATATATATATCTTTACAGAATTGTGTCCCCCGTGTGGTGCCGGGCGTTCCTGTCGGTGTTGGAGCCCTCGAAGAGCGTGACAGGCGTTTAACCGAAAAGTTTACCGAACAACGCCTACTTAGACTAATACAGTAGGCAGTCATGTATCGTATACTTACGAATTCATCTACTTTTTATTTGCTTACTATTTCTGTTTAACGTGTATATTTGTATCACACCTACTTCCCTTCTTCTTTGCACCTCATCCATTCGCAAAACGAACGGTCAATGGCAGACGACAAATCACTGATCTCGATTAGTCAATCATCGTGGACGACATAAGTAGTCCGCTCTATCTCTGCATGACTCTGCTGCAGGTCTACCACCTAATGGACAGTTTGGGAAGTGATGCCTCTGACTTACTAGTGCTTGAATGTCACCTGGACGAGCTCATCTCGGACTGATACATCTCTTTTCCACACGATTTCTTTGTGTGATCGAGACTAAACCTCTGTGGATGGAGAGGTATTTCGTGCATTTTCAGCCCTCAGTTATATGTGTAAAATAGCTACTACTTTATATGTATTTAGTTTCATAATTTGGTGCTATCTTGTCTGCCTTACGCAGTGCGGGATTTGTCCCGCTGTACAAATGAGTCTTTCCACTGTGTTCTAAAGTCCCAATGCATTTTCGTATCCCTTTCAGTTGATGTTCCACTTTACGTCGAGGAAGATGACAGAAGTCCTACCGCCGTTTCAAGTGCTACTCCTGGCTATTTTCAAATTCGATTCGATGGCCTTCTGCATAAACTCAGCACCCTCGGCATCTGGGATGATCGTTCGGGCTAGAAAAGAGCGTTTCTGTTTGGTCGAAGATAGCATGTCTGCATCGGAGATGTTATGTCACGCTGGACGAACGTGACTAGTGGTGTACCCCAAGGCTCAGTTCTCGGATCCTTATTTTTCATCCTCTATGTTTATGACAGCTTTCAGGAACTCGATTGTTGCCGCAGAATAATGTTTGTCGAAGGCGCTAAGCGCTGGCAGACCATCAAAGATCCGAATGACCGAAGTTCTTCAAAATACTCTGCACCGACTGTAAACGTAATGCGAGACAAGACTTCATGCTATTTAAATGACAGCATGAAAGCATATCACCTGAAAGACATAGCTCTCCCTGCATAATATTCCCAGACGGATCTTGATATTTGGATACAGAGCAAAATTTAACCAGCACTGTAATGCACCAAGGCCGCAGAGAACGCCATGGGTGTACTCCATGCGATCAAAACTGCGTTTGTAACCTTACACAAGGACTTTTTGAGGGACTTTACGACACCTTTGACGAACGTCCTGTAGAATATGGCATACAAGCTTGGCGGCTATGGCTAGGAAAGGACCAAGCATGCCTCAAAGGGGTATAACGTCGTGCAACAAAGCTGGCAAAGAGTTTAAAATCCAAGCTTGCATAGAAGAGCAATACCGTCTTAACTTATTACCCCCCTGTTTTAGAGGCAGCAAGGAGGTGATGTTATTATGGTTTTGCAAAATAATACATGGCCTTGAGCATGGAGTGAGTTTTGAGAACATGTTTCAGTGGCACCTTCCGTTCAGTCTTCGCGAACACTTGATGAATTTACGCACAAAAATGTCCAGCCTAAATCTTCGCTCTGAATTTTTTACACAAGTGGTAGTGGAGAGATGGGATTATTCCTCTCAGTCAGTCGTTAATGCGGCATCTACAGCTCTTCAATAAACGCCTGGATGATTATTTGTGTCCTCTGTTTTCCCTCGCCGTTCTGAACCTGATCTAAATACCCCGTAAACCCCAGAAACTCCGTCCGCGATCGCTTAATAAAGCTATGCACAAAAATGTCCAGGCCGAACCTTCGCTCTGAGTCTCCCACGCAGAGTAGTGAGGAGATTGAATGATCTTCCTTAATTAATCGCGGAGGCCACGTCACTGCAGCTCATCAATAAACACCAGTGATTATTTGTGTCTCTCGTTTTCTCACGACAGCCTGAACCTGTGTTAGATATCCCGCGAGCCCAGAGAGTTCAAAAAACAATATTGCTCAAACCATACAAGTACGATTGTTATGCGACAATTTTAATATTCGCATGCAGTTGTACCTAACGAACAGGCATAAAAACTATTGCGTTCTTCAAGGCATTGTCTATTGTCAATAGTAGTGAAAATCCGATTCCCAGGTGGCATATCAAAAGAAGAGTGGGCGTTCACCGGGAGGGGTTTATTTGAGATCCGACGTTTCGGGTAGTTTACTCGTCTACCCATCTTCAGGGACTGGGAGGTCCTGTGCACAGCACTCATTTTTATGGCGCCCTTTGTCCAATGCGTGATCCGCCAATGCCGCCTGTGTGGCTGCATCCAACCCGCATGTCACCGTGACCTGAATCGCCCCCGGCGGCCGCGGTGATGACTGACGGCCCCGATTGTCCCGCGCCGTGACTGTCCCCCGCTAAGAAGGTTCGTAAAGTCAGATAAGGGGGGAGGCAAATTGATGTGGCGGTTGACAGAGCGGTCGGTGGACATCCAGGCTTCTTGCGCTTGCCTTGCTGTGTGATCGCCGCCCCGGCCCACAATCTCAACGGCGTCAAAGTTGAAAATGTGTCCCATTTGCGCGGCATGGGTTGCTACCTCCGACTTTGGGTCCAACCTTCGCACGGCCAACTTATGCTCGTGCATTCGCGTTTGCAGCCGTCGGCCGGTTTCCCCAACGTAGTCGCAACTTCCGCAGCTGCATTGAAGTCGGTAGACAACGGCCGACATCTCCTGCTTAGGGATCGGATCTTTCGGCCGCATCACTTGCCGGCGGATTGTTGAGTCAGGCCTGTGGGCAACACCTATTCCGAGTGGCGCGAGTGATCGAGCCACGACTTCGGAGACCCCTTTAATGTACGGAATGCTCCGCCACGAGTTTGGCTGACTATGCTCCTCGTTCCGTTTCTTTGGCTGCCTCCGGCTTCGTTCAATGAATGCCCGCGGATAGCCATTGGCTCTGAAAAGTTCTCGGAGGAGCTTTATCTCATTCAGTTTGGCGGCTGGCGTGCTGCAATGAGTTTCCACCCGTCGGTACAGCGTGCAGACACAGCTTCGTTTGTGTTGTGGCGGGTGGTTGCTGTTGTAGCTGAGAATTTGCAGCGTGTTCGTCGGTTTTCTGTAGACCGACGTCGCTAGTTCGCCATTTGTTTGGCGGCAGACGAGAACATCCAAGAATGGAAGTTTGTCCTCGACTTCCTCTTCCATCGTGAACTGTAGATCGGGTATGATTGAGTTCAGTACTTCCGCATAGTAGTTGATTTTATCCTGGTCTATGATCACGAAGGTGTCTTCAACGTAGCGTGCCCAAAACTTGGGTTTGTACTCCTCGAATAGTCGTCTCTCGAGTTTTTGTAGAACCGCCCGAAAGATCCGATCCCTAAGCAGGAGATGTCGGCCGTTGTCTACCGACTTCAATGCAGCTGCGGAAGTTGCGACTACGTTGGGGAAACCGGCCGACGGCTGCAAACGCGAATGCACGAGCATAAGTTGGCCGTGCGAAGGTTGGACCCAAAGTCGGAGGTAGCAACCCATGCCGCGCAAATGGGACACATTTTCAACTTTGACGCCGTTGAGATTGTGGGCCGGGGCGGCGATCACACAGCAAGGCAAGCGCAAGAAGCCTGGATGTCCACCGACCGCTCTGTCAACCGCCACATCAATTTGCCTCCCCCCTTATCTGACTTTACGAACCTTCTTAGCGGGGGACAGTCACGGCGCGGGACAATCGGGGCCGTCAGTCATCACCGCGGCCGCCGGGGGCGATTCAGGTCACGGTGACATGCGGGTTGGATGCAGCCACACAGGCGGCATTGGCGGATCACGCATTGGACAAAGGGCGCCATAAAAATGAGTGCTGTGCACAGGACCTCCCAGTCCCTGAAGATGGGTAGACGAGTAAACTACCCGAAACGTCGGATCTCAAATAAACCCCTCCCGGTGAACGCCCACTCTTCTTTTGATTGTCTATTGTCCTTACCAATTAAACTGAGCGACTCAACCTACAGTATATATATATTTTTGAATTTCTCTCTTGCTGCTATGGCTGGGGTAGGCGGCCCAGGTTTCCGCTCCGTAGAGAGGCGTCGCCAAGACGACGGCCTTGTAAATCTTCAGTTAGATGCTCAGTTGAAGGCTCTGGCGATCCCACACGAAGGCTTTCAGCCGGCCGGAGATCTGGCTGGCTTTGAAGAGCCGACGGGCATCCTCGTCGCCGATGACTGTGCCGCGCGAGTGTGCCTCCTAGATAGGCAAAGTTGTCCGCAGCTTTGATCTGGCTGCCATTTACACTTATTCGAGAAGGGTTGCATTCTGTGTCGAGTGGGACGGTTGGTGCATGATCACCGTTTTGTCCGTGTTGATGGTCAGTCCGGAGTTGGCGCAGCCGGCAGCGAAGAGGTTCATGCTCCTTTGCATATCCTCCATGGTCGTGCTTCTGTGCACGCTGTCGTCGGCAAAGAGCAGGTCATGGACTGTGGTCGTAGACTGCCCCTTTTGGTGCCTTCATAAGTCAACTGTTGAGAAGAAACCCGTCAGTCCCGTAGGCGATGCGTATTCTAGGGCGCTCAACACGATAGGTGTTCATCAGCGTAGCAGAGAGCATTAGGCTGAAGAGGGTGGGAACGAGTACCCAGCCCTGTTTCACTCCATTGATCATTACAAATGCCCGAGAGATTGCGCCGTCATCCCGCCGTAGAGCGTGAATCGTTCAAAACAACAGAACTTCTGCATGAGTTTCCACAGCCCATTACCACTCACCGTGTCGAAGGCTTTCGCCAAGTCCATGAAGTGGTGGGTTCGCATCACCTGACACTTGTAGCTGGCGGGCGGCGTCGTCGGAAGTCAAATTGGCTTTTCGGCGGTGCTTTTTCCATTGGTTCTCAACGTCTTTTTAAATCTAAACTATGTTTTACAGAAAGCATGAGCAGAACCCCCTCCTTCTTTCACCCCGTGTTTCAGAAGATCGCATTTTCTTCAATGTTCTTGCCTGAAGAAACGGAAAATATCGGTTTCTGAAAGTCTACTAACCCCTTACTAATTTTGTATCCAAATTATCGTACACTTGCATTTGGTGTTTCTGAATTAAACGCCGTACGTTCTGCATTTTAGAAAAATCATACATTACGCAAATAAGCACATGCCATCCAACTCTCAAAAAAGCTTCGACGCTTATGAACCACGCTGTTCATTTCGAAATCTGTATTGACAAACGTGACAATTAATAATCTCAAATTGTCCCCTAGTTACAGGCACTTTGTAGATCGAAAGGGGTCTTTAAGTAAAAAAGACCTAAAGGAGACGTCAGTTCCACAAAAAAGTACGAGAAAAGGGGATTTTGTGCATGCCTTCTTGTAAGACATCGAAAGTCATGGGCACGAATCGTACCACATAAGTTGACATCTACTTGTGTGCCCTGAAATAAGGCCACATACGGTTGCACGTACCTAGTGAGGAGTCTCTCCTTGGCCATTCAATATTCCAACCGATGTGGACAATATCTTATTAACTGTAATCGACCTTCATTTTTGACCGCCTGGAGAAGTTTACGAAAGTCTCAATACTTCTGTAATATTCAGACCGTCGGATAGACTGAGGTACTCATTTGATTGAAATATGTAAAGTTTGGAAACGAACTTAATTGGTTTAAGGGGCAGCACCCCAATCACAATCATCATCAGTGCCACCAAGCATACAATCATCTCTGTCACCGCTAGCAGTATCTTGCTCCCCATCTGCTCTTCCCCCTCCTCCACTTCCATCAGCAGCGGGCTGATTAAGGTTTCCGGTGGATTTTTGATGGTTACAAGTAATGCGTTTTTAAGGCCCCTAAATACTCCAGTCGATAACTAGACGACACCTCACAACGGAACTAAATCTCTTCACCCTCGTTACTGACAGGATTTAAGTAGCACATACTTGGAACTAGGAAGACTGGCGAGACCGCGGCACTTTAGAGGCGGATATACTTAACGTGAGAGGGTCGATCAACGTTTAGGTTCTATGCTCGTCCGGTTTGGTCCTGGGGCTCCTGTCTAGAACCCTCTCAGATAGCCTCACAGCAATTAGTAATCGGTGCAACCATTTCTGGCTTATCAACCGTCGTCCACCGGCCAGCCATGCCCAACACCAGGTTTTGGGGTGTTTGAGGCTCGAACCCGATCCGGCTTGAAGTCTAAGGCCCTGCCACTGGGTCACGGTCTTGTTGTCCTGTCGTGGGAAAGACGTTCAACGACCAGGCTACGAGATGTACTTCCCCCCCCCTACCTGTTGTTGTCCCTGATGATGTGTCCGAGCAGGCCTCCGAAACGTCAGGCGAATAAAGTTCTGGTGCGAGCGCGCGTGTCTCCGTTTTCATGAGTCATCACAGGCAGTCTCATAGGGACCAGTAAAGTATAGAAAGGAGAGTGTACGCTCAAATACAACTAAGACTGGGATGGTCATTTTCGTTTTATTATCTGTCGTCAGATTTGGGCAACAGGGGATTCGTAGCCAGACATGTCGGTCAGTGAACAATAAGTCATTATTTTTTTGTTGATTTTCAGCAGGAATGCCCAATAGCACCAGAGGTTGGTTTACCCTTCAGGTTATAGTACGCCATAAGCTCGTCCCTGAATGGTGATAGCTAATAAGTCAGGACTGGCCATCCCAGTATAGTATATATGTTGTCTCGTAAAATGCTGACTGGAAACTCGAAATGAGTTTTTACTTCCAAAAGTTTACTTAAGATTGATCTTATATTAATTTGCATGTCGTTGATTTTCATTATATTCCAGTCACGTCGGGATGTCAAGTTTCGAATGATCTTATCGATCGCTTTTTCAAATGATATATCGTAAAAACGGCCATTTAAGAAACATGAAATTTTCCCCTGATTTTTTATACCCTGATATATTCCCATATGTTTTAAAGAAAACATGCACAAAGGTATTTGTTCCTCCGCTCATTTGGTAGCAAATTTCGTCTTCTTCAAATTTTATACTTGATGAAATCTGTCTTTTGGTTTTAAAAGATTTCATTGATTCCCCAATAATTTTGAACTCGCATTATGGTTTCCGAACTGCTAGCTGTGTACTTTTCGTGCAAGGAAAATGTATTAGTCTATATGCCTTTATGAAGGGAACATATAGGGCCCGTAATGTATGTGGACCATGTTGTTCATTTTATAAGCAGTACTAGTAAATCCTCCTTTGAAAAGCTGTACGATTAATCATTTCAGGGTCTTCATAAGTCACTTTGTTAGAAAACTCTTAAAACTGAATCATACTCTTCCTTTGAACATTGAGTTTGAAGAAGACGCAAGCTTTTACCAAATGGTTGGAAGGAAGAATATCCTTCTGCATGTTTTCTTCAAAATATATTTGAATTAATAAGGACATCGAAGACCGATGGGAAAAACCATACTTCACAAGTAGTCATTGTTAAAGAAATGTTATTTACAGAAATGGTCGGTAAGGAGCTCGTGCGAAAGCCAACATCCTGACGCAATTGCAATATCTTGATATCATGTCAATTACTACCACAGCCGTTCTTTGGCAATCTAATCATATGAAAACGCATCTCAGAATTTCGGCTAGCTTTTCATGAGATAGCACATCTGCTGTACTTCTTACCTTTATCTGCATTCCGCCCACCAATATAATTTTCCACAAATTCACAAGGTCGGCGGCCTGTTTTTCTTCCTTTCCGGGGACGAGAAGCCGGCTCAGAGAGTGAGTCGAGAGCTGCCACCGAAGCCTGCCACCAGGACACGACATGTTCTCCTTCTGCGGCGTAAGACTGATTCGTTGTTATCTGCAGCACAACAAAAAATTAGCCTTGTGAAGCCCTGAAATATTGCCAGAGCACGGCGGTGTACCAACTTGAGCTGTCGGATTGACGCTCATCGACCGACTGAACTTCTGCCTGGTTTTATTATCTTTTCGATCCCATGCTTCCTGGGTTGTCTTCATCTTTGTTCATGCCGTACTTCAGATCTATCGCCAGCTGTCTCTCGGTTTTTTCTTAGCATCGGTTCGTTTGTTTGGCTAAAACACATCTTCGCATTGGTGGTTTTTGCTGGTTGGTGGGTGGGATTCTCACCTGGACCTGGCTCCTCTTTGGCCAATGTGATACCGAAATTTCATATTGACCCAACTGTGAAAAACTCTGCGCCTCGGTTGTATTCGAACCTACGCAGTAAGGGGAAGGCTTTAGTACAGCCAACGCTCTAACCACTTGAGCTACGAGGCTCCGCCGGACGACGCGAGTTTAATTACATTTGGGTCAAGTTATTCGCCCAATCTACTGCAACGTCTGGAATCCACCAACTCTGATACAGTAAATTGACTGCCCAAGCAGAATTTCCCAAGTAATTTACCCAGAATTCACCAGATGACTACCAGGCTCACGTAATCCATAGAGATTTTTGGCAGATTTTTGAATAATTCATAATGACCGAAATTTGAAAAAAGAAGACCCACCGCTGTCACCACTACTATCGATAGTAA